GCTGCTGGGAGGATGACCTAGGGACACGACCACTACATCTCACAGGACAGTGCTTGAGAGGTGACACTTGGAGCTGGCCTGGGAGCTCAGGACACTAGTTGAGAGCTTCATACTCATTCCCTGACACCTGCAGCAGCATGGGAAGGGGAATCCAGGGCTCAGAGGCTTTCTCAGGGTGAAGGGAAAATGCCACAAGGAGCAGTGGTCTAAGGAGGGATCAGCTGCCCTGCGGATCAGCTGCTAAGGAAATGCATTGTCTCATTTTATTAACTGCCTTTCTCTCTAATCCAGGCTGCAGGATGCATTTGTTACTTTTGAAAACAATAATAATGCTATTTCAGTGCTTGCCTGAGATGTGGAAGATCTTGTTAGGTGAGGCAGCTCCTCCTGACCTGCAGAGAACTCCTCCAGAGGCTGAACTCTGTGCTTGCTGAGCCTGGTTAGAACTACATCAGTTGCTCTGATTACCTGGTGCTGCTGGATGTTACTGCTCCCAAAATTTGCTGGGCTCTGACTGCCTCAGCAGCTGTGCAGCTGACCAGTGGGTGCCTCTATCTCAACAACCTTCTCACTCTGCTCACCTCCTGGATGCTTGGTCAGGGCTGGTCTACCTTGGTAAGAATAAAGCAACATTACCAGCAGCTCTCAGTAACATGCAGCTCACTTTCCAGGGCACCAGGAAGCCACATTTCTGCAGTTTACCTTCAGCACAGACTCATTTTCTGGGTATTTTGTTTCCCAGTAGCCCTTCTGCAACATGTCCTGCCCTTTGTCTTCCCTAGGGAAGGGACATCTGTTGATCAGGCCAGAATGTGCCTGATTTCAGCAGACAGCCCCAGTGACCTTAGCAGGTCAACGGAGATAGCCTTCTACTCTGCTGACTGATTTCCATCCAAGAAGACCTTGGCCAGCTGGGCTCCACCCCAGTCTGCTCATCCCAAGCAGGAGGCCACGATACAGTTCCATCCCCCTGCATGGGCAGGGACACCTCCCACCAGCCCAGGCTGCTCCAAGCCCCATCCAACCTGCCCTTCAACACTGCCAGGGATGGGGCAGCCACAGCTTCTCTGGGCAACCTGGGCCAGGGTCTCACCACCCTCACAGCAAAGGATTTCCTCCTCATGTCTCACTTAAATCTCCCCTCTTCAGTTGAAATCCATTCCCCCTCATCCTCTCACTACAAGCCCTTGTCCCAAGTCCTTCTCCAGCTTTCCTGGAGCCCCTTCAGGCACTGGAAGCTGCTCTAAGGTCTCCCTGGAGCCTTCTCTTCTCCAGGCTGAACACCCCAACTCTCTCAGCCTGTCTGATGGCTGTGCTGAGCCATGGCTTGAGGAGCAATCCTAGTGATGTCTGATGACCATCACTCCTGACCCAGCTGGGAGCACATGGATCTACTGCATCATTTCCAACCCCCCAGGAAGCCCAGGGCCCATTGCAGTGTCAGTGCCATTGCACTCCTAGGGATGAAGGAGGCTGGTGAGGCAGAGGACAACTTGCAGCTGAGCAATGACTTCTCCAGGCTCCCCTGCCAGACATGGGCCAGCAACAACACCCAGTGTCTGGAGCAGGTGGAAATGCTCTGAAGAAAGGAAAGTTGTGCACAGATGCCTGGTCCAGCCTGTGGCAGTTTCCTTTGTGTAGTCTGTAAGGTTGCCTGTGAGTGCTCCAAAGGGGAAGAAATGTCCTGAGGATCCCATTTGGATCTGGACTAGGCTTCAGAGGTGGGAGCTGAGTTTCTTGCTGCCTGATGTGCCCTGAGCCACCCCACAAGGGACAACAGGAAAGAATTCTTTCTAGTCTTGCTTGCATGAACCACCCACTTGCAAGGCTCATGGCCTTCTTGTTTGGATCCCAGAAGGAGCCAAACCAAATCAGTATCATCTTGGTAACTCCAAGATGACTGCCACCCAAGCCAGGATGTGGAAATTCCCAGCTCATAAAAAAAGCCTGCAGTGATGAGCTGCAGTGTGTATCTGCAAAACTCAACCTGCATTTCCACCCTGGTCTGTGTGCAGAGGACCTGGGCTCCTCTCAAGGACACAACCTGGATGATGTTCTCCAGGAGCACACCTAAAACACACCTGAAGCAGGACCAGGCAAGAGCAAGTCCACAGTGTCTCTTCTCCTGAGATACACAGAGCGTGGACCTCAACATCAACTCATTTTATAAATCTGCACCAATCAGATACATATTTGGCCTTTCTCAAGCAGTTTCTCACTCTGCCCTTGGTTGCCCCTCCATGTACCCATGGGCAGGCAGCAGAGCCTTGCTAAGCTTGTGTTTGTCTCAGCAGCCCTGCAGCAGAGCTGGCAGGTCACTGCCAGCTGATTCCCAAGGGACATGTGTCAGGTTTTGCCAATGAAAAGCCAATATGATTCGTGGTTGAGTGTTAATGAAGCAAAAATTAATTGCATGATCTTGAAGGGCTATTATCAATATCTTGGTGCTCATGTTTCTTCTTCCTAAAAATCAGAGCAAGGACAATATCCTTTATCAAACCAAGGACAGAACTTCTTCAACCTCTCAGCAAGGAGCAGCCCAGGATGTCGTGCACCCCTTGTATTTGTTTACACAGAATCACACAGAGTGTCAGGGATTGGAAAGGACCTCTGGAGATCATCAAGTCCAACCCCCCTGTCAGAGCAGGACCAAATCTGGGGCAGGTCAGTTGAAGTCCAAGGACTAGGGACAAGCCAAGCAAGTTGCCACACATGAACTGATCCACACCAACTGTCCCTGTGTGCAAAGATGGCCTTTGTGAGCTTGCAAAGAATCATCCTAGATCTCCCCTCTCCCAAGGGACTGAGCTAAGCCAAGGTGGATTCCCCAGCAGTGCTTGAGACACAGATGTTCACTGAGGTATCCAATAACTTCATCTGGTGCCTCCATGTGTTTAGAAGCAAGACACTGGTGTGTTATCTCAAAGGCCACTTGGCAGCCATATCTCCTGCTGGAGAGTTTTACATGCCTGATTTTTTGCCCCTTGAAGAAGTGGGGTTAAAGTGCAAGGATGCTGGAAGTTGGGGGTTCAGGTGCTCCTCCTTGTACAGTTCTCCCAGAGGCTGCTGAGAAATGCCTGCAGGCTGCAGAGCACCAGCTGTCCTGGCCACAGAAGGGCCTGTGAAAGGAAGGAGGAGGTTCAAGTGAGCACACAGAGTCACAGCAGGAGCAAAGTGCTCTGCTGGTGCAGGGTGGCAGGAGCAGCCTGTGACCTGTCCCCCCAGGCACCCACACCCGGGGGTCCCAGCCAGGCTGCTCCTGCCAGGGGCCCTGGGGGCAGGAATTACTCTTCAGCAGTTTTGGCTTGGCAATTCCATGCATAAAATCTATGCAAAGAGAATAACTGATGTTCATCCCCTGGGTCTCTTGCCCCCAGCTGTGTCCCCAGTGCTGGGTAACACACAATCCCAGGGCTTGGTGACCAACTCACAGCAGGTGGTTTTCAAAACATGAGAAATCTCCTTACGGAGAGGAGCCCTGAAGCCTGGGGCTGCTCAGGGCACAGACCCTGCCCCTTTCTGCCCCCTGGGCAGGGTAAGGGGCTCTGGGCAGCCAGGCAGTGAGTCAGGCTGGGCAAGTTGTAGCCATAGTGCCTGTGCTGGTACAGGTGGGCTGCTGGGCACGGGCACTGCTGCTGCAGGTTGTTGAGAGCAGTCTAAATAAAACCTGCAAGAAACTCAGCATGAATTCAGCTTTGCTCACTGCAGGGCTGGAAGGAGGCAGAGCAGCAGGTCTGCCCCGGGCTAGGGAACCCCAGAGTCACACAGCAGGCAGTTGAAAGGAAGGGTTTTAGCAAGGTCAAGCTTGAAAAGGATATATCCTTGCTTTCTTTCCAGGCTGGAGCTTTTGAATCAGTTCTGCCTGCTGAGGGAACACTCTGCCCTAGGGGCTGTGTGCACAGAGCCAGCAGCCAGGGCCAGCTCTGCACCCAAGTGGCAGCACCTCCGTACTAGGGACTTCTGCCCTGGGCTGGTGGTTGCAATCATCATCTCACAGGGAGTGCAGGGGGGTGATGGGGCAGGATGAGGGTCCCAGGGAAGCGAGGGATCCCACAAACACAGGGCTTGGACCTGGAAGGGTGTGGGCACAGGTTTAGCCGCGTGCTGAAGGGGTCAGTTCAGCATCCTGGTGGCATCCAGGCTTGTGTGGGGTGGGCAGCTCTCCACTGCATCCAGCCTGAGCTCTCTCTCAGGGCTTGTCCTTTGTGGGGACATCCCAAACACTGCTCCTGAAGACCCTGCCTTGCCCCCACTCCCAACAAACACCCCTAGCCCTGCAGCAGCTCCTTCTTGCAGGGAAGGTCAGATGCACGTCCACCTGCAAGATCTCACCCGATACCAAAGACTTGGGGCAGGAGGGAATAAATAAAAACAACCTGGGCTGAGCTGATAAGGCCTCTGACACTGCCAGGATTGGGGGTGATTTCTGCTCTGTGCTGCAGCACTCAGAGTGGCTTTGCTGTTCTGTTATCATTGCTATCAAAAAATAAGTGGATTTAACACGATCCTGCCAGCTGGCAGGGAGCAGCCCAGCTTTGGGGCTTGGCAGGGGGCAAAACCCACTGCACTGCCACCCCCAGCTTGTGGGAGGGAAGCAGCCAGCCTGTCTGCCTGGCAGAGAGGACATGAGGTATTTTCCTGGCTGAATTTTCCACTGCCTCTATCCTGGCCTGGTCTGCAGTCCCTGCTGGGGTGAAGCTTCCCCTGCCTGTTTTGGGTGGCACATGTTGAGTCTGCTGTGTCTCTGCCTGGGGACAGGGGAAAATGGTAGAGGGTGAGAGGCAGGAGAAGGCTTGCAGGAGGACAGTTCCCTGTGCACAAAACACAGATTGTGTCCCCAAGGGTGCTGAGCACCCTCAGCACCTGCTGCTTTTGGGGGGCATTGGGTGCCCTCAGCACTCTGGAGCCATTGAGGGCTGGCTCCTCTGCCAGATTGGACCACTGGGCATCCCAAACCCACCTCATCCCTCCCAGTTTGCCCTGAAAAGGCTGTTACTCACCCATGCTCCAGCCAGGGCTTGGGATCCTTGTGGAGCTGCATGTGGGGACACCCCAAAGTGTCTCCATCTTGAGTGTCTTCCCTCCCTGGGTTCTGCCTGGGGTTTTCCCAGCATTGCAGTGGTAAAGGGCTCTGTGCTTGCCCCAGGAGGGACCCACCAGGATCCTGGATAAATTGTGGTGGGTGTAAGTGACATCTCTGCTTCCTCCAGAGACCTTTCTGCGGGCCCTGGGATTCACTCTAGTGTCCATACAAGTTGCTCCAGAGATAATCTGCTCTGCAGATGCCTGCCTTCCTTGCACGTGTGGAGGATCATCTGCTTTGCAGACCCCAGCTGCCCTCCAGACAGCAGGAGCAGCCCAGCCCTGAGCCAGGATGCAGCAGGAGCCATCACTGCCTTCCCATCCCTTGCTTCCCCTTGTCTGGGATCTGTTCCCAGGGGTTCCTTCCTAGCCTGCAGTCTGCAGCCAGGAGCTGTGCCCACAAACCTGGCTCCCTGTGCATCTGGCTGCTGGCAAGCCAAGGCCCTTCCTTCTGTCCCTTGGTTTGCAGCTCTGTGGCAGGCTGGGAGCACATCCTTCTGGTGGGAAGCCAGCAGGGCTGAGCTGGACCCATGTCAGACACAGCAGCAGAATGGACCAGGGTTTGGAGAGGGACAGTGCAGCCCCACACACTGTTCCTGGCTCCTGCTTTGTCTCCAAGTCAGTTATTAGCAAGTAGGATGGCCTAGCTTTGCTCACCCTGGAGCCTTCCCTTCTCCAGGCTGAACCACCCCAGCTCTCAGTCTGTCTCCATGGCTGGAGCAGCCTCAGGGAGGATCCTTCACAGGACACAGCAAGTTCATCTGCTCATCTGTCTCCCATGGGGACCAGCCCCTGCAGGACCCCAGGACATGGTCCTGCCCTCTGGTTTCCCCTCACCCTGTCCTGAGGGGCAGGTTCAGCCCAGGCTGCAGCTCCAGGCAAGGCTCCTGCCTTCCCTTTTTAGCCAGTGTTGAGTCCAAAACTCAGGAGCTCGTGACTGGAGCCGAAGGCCAATTAGCAACAGTTTAGCTTCATCAGCTTCCTGACTGAATGCAAGTTTTAATTAAACATCCCATTTTAATTAGTCAGGCATTGCATACAGTGAAGCTTGCCTCAAGATTCACAGGCTGTAGGTCCTGTGCTTTAATTAAAAGAAAGCAGCACATGACTTTAACTCCAGCATCTGTGGCAGCTCCTCATCCTTCCGAGGGTGCAGGCAGAACAGCTGGGAACAGCATCTCGTCTTGCCAAGGCCTGTTCCTCTTCTCTTCTACCTCCATATGGAAGCTCCAGCACAGGAACTGGCTGCAGGATAGCTTAGTTGGAAGGAGAGAAGAAACGGGCTGGTTGCAATTCCTGGGATGTCAGAGGAGGTACTGGGCTCTCAGTGTGATGCTGAGAGGAAGGGCCAGGGAGGGGATTGTCCCCTCTGCTCTGATCTGCTCTGCTGAGACCCCCTACAGAGCTGTGGCCAGGGCTGGGGTCCCCAACACAGGGAGGACATGGAGCTGTTGGAGAGAGTCCAGAGGAGGCCACAGAGGTAATCCCAGGGCAGGAGCAGCTCTGCTCTGGAGACAGGCTGGGAGAGTTGGGGTGTTCAGCCTGGAGAAGAGAAGGCTCCAGGGAGACCTTAGAGCACCTTCCAGTGCCTGAAGGGGCTCCAGGAAAGCTGGGGAGGGGCTTGGGACAAGGGCAGGGAGGGATGGGATGAGGGGGAACAGTTTCAAACTGAAAGAGAGGAAATTGAGATGAGATCTGAGGAAGAGATTCTGTGCTGTGGTGAGGGTGGTGAGAGCCTGGCCCAGGTTGCCCAGGGAAGCTGTGGCTGCCCCATCCCTGGCAGTGTTGAAGGGCAGGTTGGATGGGGCTTGGAGCAACCTGGGCTGGTGGGAGGTGTCCCTGCCCATGCAGGGGGGTTGGATCTGGGTGATCTTTAAGATTCCTCCCAACCTCTTTCATTCTATGAAAACGGTGCTTTTCTCCATTTCTTGCCAAGCCCCACTGACCTACCAACCTTCTGCACCAGCTGCACTGACCCCTGCTCTGGGACAAGGGAGAATCAGGGAGTGACAGAAATCCCTTTGTCAGCCTGGGAAGGCGGTTCCAGAGCTATTAAAGAGCACAAAGAGGGGATGGATTCTCTCCTAAGTGCTCCAGGGACAGAGATTGAAATGCTCAGCTCCCATTAGTGCTAATGGAAATTACAGAAGTCTCTTCTTCCTGCCTTGAGACAAGAGCGTTGCAGAAGGGTCCAGCTTCCTGCAAGGAGCAAATTCAGTTGATTTTAAGATGCTGCTCAATGGGATTTTCCTTCCATTTCACACTCAGTAATTCCCCTGCCTGTGCTAGCTCAAGGTGGGCCTTTACAAGCTGGCTGTGTGCTGGAGGACACTGGGTCTCCATCCACCACCCCTTGCTCTGTGAGGGGACAGTGGTTCCCAGAAAAGGGTTCCCAGCCCCAAGAAGCCCCAGAGATTTCATTTTCCACCTGGAGATGCAAAGTGCAACGTTCCAGCTTTTGGCAGGGAGGGGAAATCCCACCCGTGTTGTGTCAGAAATGTCAACAGCATCTTGTTTCCCGTGGTCTGGGGCAGCAGGAGATAAGGTCAGGCAGCTGCAGGAGACAAGGCTCAGGGTTGTCTGACCCCCTGCTCTCGTGCAGGGTTCTCCATCTCCTGCTCCCTCTGTGTGGGTCACAGGCCTGTGGGAAACCTGTGTCTTCCTCCCGTGTCCAGTGATTAAGTCCTCCCCCCGAGTGACAGACTGCAGGACAGCTTGGGTTTGCTCCAAGGGTCATGGGAGGTTCCTGTAGAATTTACCGACCCAATCAGTCATTTAATTTCTCTCCACAGCCCCTGATTTATTAACACAATAATAGAAAGCAGGAGGACTTTGTTTTTCCAGGACAGATGGGTCTGAATCCCATTGTCACTTGATGGATCAGCCAGGCCTGCCTTCCCGTCCCTGCGCTCATTCCTGCACATCGTGTAGCATTAATTAACCTTGGTTAATGGGCTAACCGCGATGGGCTGCAGCTCTCAGTCCCCAGCAGGGTGACTCTTGCCACAAGCAGCAGGGATGCATCAGGAGAGCTGGGTGGATGTTTGTTTCAAAGGGGTTGTGTCCAGGAATGTGTCCCCGCACCAGGAGAGCCTCAGCATGATGGGGATCCTTCCTGGGGGTTGGCACGGAGCTCATGCCAATGGAAGAGTAGTCAGGCACTGGAATGGGCTCTCCAGGGAGGTGGTGGAGTCACCATCCCTGGAGGGATTAAAAAAATGTGTAGACATGGCATTCAGGACATGCTCTAGTGGGCGTGGTGGGTTATTCTGGGTGGACAGTTGGACTCGGTGAACTTAGAGGTCTTTTCTAACTGTGATGATTCTGTGATTCTGTGAAAAACCAAACCCTAGAGCTCCCGTGTCCAGTGAGGAGTCTGTGGCCACCCATACACCGGAACTGGGGTCAGCAACTTTGCACGGGTGGTGCTAAAGCTCTGGGTGCACATCAGTGTGTGCTGGTGGTGGGACCCTGCTCTCGGTGCTGGGGACGAGGGACGGGGCAGGGTGTCCACTGAGCACCTCACCAACCTTACAGTTATGGGGGAAAACAAAGCCCTGAGCAGTTCATACCCCTCACCTGCAGGCACTGGTGGCATCAAGGACATCTGGAGTGGAGGGATGCAGGGTAAGACCATGGGGAGAGATGCTCTGAAGGCCATGGACCATGTTTCCCTTGTGGACAGGCTCAAAGCTGGTGGAAGTGTGGGGTGTCTGGGGTGAAGGAGCTGCACATGGACAGTGCACACTGGCATTGCAGGCCTCTTCATCAATTTTAAATCACGTTTAAGATGCTTTCCCATTAGGAAAGCCTGGGAGAGTTAGGTGGATATAAAAACCCCCTTTCTGAAATGGATTTAATCAGAAAAAAAGCCTTCGAGAGTCTTTATTGAAGGGAAAAAAAACCCCACACCATGATGCAGTTTTAATGAGGAGCTTGTAAACGTAATAAACTCCTGCCAGTTTTCTCTGTTAATTGCCAGTGTCATCAAAGACCAGGGCCCTGCAGCACTAGGTTCTCAGCAAACCACCTTAAGACATCTTCCTAAATCCAGGAGCAGCTCGGAGAAGGGAGGGAGGAGAGATGGGGAGACCTGCAGAGCTGACCTAGCAAATCCCATTCTTCTTAGAGATGTAATTGCTGATGAGCTCCACATCTTAACGACTCAGGCAGGATAAATGACAAAGGAAATGCAGAAATCACTGGGGTTGCATTAACATCTCCTGGGGAAGCAGCAGTAGGGTCATTTTCTGGGCCATTAAGTGGTCACCGTTTGCTGCTTCATAGAGAGCAATTCTTTTTTCCTCAATTTCAGCCCAGCTCAGGAGCTGTGCTCAGTGCCCTCCTGTCCCTTCTGCATCTTCACTCCCCTGCTTCCCTCTCCCATCTCACCTCTCACATCTCATCTCTCCCATCTCACCTCTTCCCTCTTCCATCTCACTTCTCACATCTCATCTCTCCCATCTCACCTCTTCCCTCTCCCATCTCACCTCTTCCCTCTCCCATCTCGCCTCTCCCATCTCACCTCTTCCCTCTCCCATCTCACCTCTCCCCTCTCCCATCTCACCTCTCCCCTCTCCCATCTCACCTCTTCCCTCTCCCATCTCACCTCTTCCCTCTCCCATCTCACCTCTCCCATCTCACCTCTTCCCTCTCCCATTTCACCTCTTCCCTCTCCCTCCACCAGCATCCATCACCTCTCCCATCTCACCTCTCTCCTCTCCCATTTCACCTCTTCCCTCTCCCTCCACCAGCATCCAGAGGAACACGGGGGCAGGTGCCAGCCCAGCACCCATGTCCTGCTCACTGTAGGGATGGACACATCAAGTTTGTGGGGACATCAGGAATCTTTTAGGCTCCCTTCTGTGTGTGCCACGAAGAAAGGTCACATCTCAAAGCCTGGGTGGTGTTTGCAGGTGATTTTCAGCCTGTGAAAGAGGCAAAATCTCTCTGAGAAGAGAGTCCTGGGTGGTTTTCCCACCTCCTGAGATAATAACTCCTGATGAGATGATGGAGGAATTGGGAGATTCCTGAGTTAATGGTTAGACACTGCCATGAAAATGGAAAAGCACAGGCCAGGAAGGAGGAAGCTGTGTGCTCCCACACCTGCACTGGGGGAGGAAGGGGTATTCTGGGTGCTGCTGGAGGACCTTCATGGGGAGATTGGGGAAATTTCAGTCTGATTCAAGTGGTGTGACCTGTGTCCCTTTGCTGATTGTCCTCAGCAGACACAGGTCAGATCCTACAGGGTTTTTGGTGCCTGGCTCCGTGGAGAGCAGAGATCACAGAATCATGGGATGGTTTGGGTTGGGAGGGACCTTCAAGATCATGCAGTTCCAACCCCCTGCATGGGCAGGGACACCTCCCACCAGCCCAGGTTGCTCCAAGCCCCATCTAACCTGCCCTTCAACACTGCCAGGGATGGGGCAGCCACAGCTTCTCTGGGCAACCTGGGCCAGGCTCTCACCACCCTCACAGCAAAGAATTTCTTCCTCAGGTCTCATCTCAATCTCCCCTCTTTCAGCTTAAAACCACCCCCCCTTGTCCTGTCACTGGGTGATCCAGGGAAGGTAGCAGCTGGCTCACTTTGAGACCCAGGATGGATGTGGCTTCTCTCTGATCACACAGGGAAGCCCTTGGAGGAGGTGGACACCAAATATCTGATTCACAAACCTAGAGCATCTGTGATGATGTCTAACCCTCCTTTTCCCTCTCCATGCACTCAGAGCAGCAGGGGCAGGAGGGCACCTGGGTGGGTTGCTGAAGGCTGCACGCCCTGGGCAGGCAGTGCTGGGCTGCACTCCAGCCCAAATCACACAAGCGTTGGCTCATCCAGCATGAGGACAAGTCCAGGACATGGAAATGACCCTGTTTTTATTTCCCCCTTCAGAGCCAGCTTTCCCAAGCCCTCAATGGGTTGTCAGACAGAGCCAAGGAAGCAAAAGAGTTCCTGGTCCAGCTCCGCAACATGGTGCAGCAGATCCAGGTACTGTGTCTCCCGGCTGAGGAACAGCCCCTTCCCACCAGGATGAGCTGCTCCTCTGCCCCATCTCCCCAGCTTGGTTTGGTGGGTGATCTTCTAAAGGAGACCACACATGACTTTTCATATTATTCCCCTCCAGCCCTCCCAAAAACTGCTCCTCCCAAATCTGCCTGTGTCAGGGAGTGAGCAGCAGAGACCCTGGCCCTTCCCATCTCTGCCATAGGCAGATCCAAGGATGTGTCAGGATGGACCAAACCTGTTCCCCACCTGCTACTGCCACACTGGGCATCAGCCAAGGGCTTAAGGACCCCAGATGCTAACACTATGGATTTGTGAGCTGCAGGTGGTGCAGCTGCACATGTCAAAGTGGCCCATGTGGCACTGTAAAAAAAAAAATCTTTTAAAAAATCAGGTTTCCCAAGAGAAAGGGAGATGAGCCCAGTGCTGTGATGCTCTGCTCTGACCTGCAGGAGAACAGCGTGGAGTTTGAGGCCTGCCTGGTGGCCCAGTGTGATGCCCTCATTGATGCCCTCAACAGGAGGAAAGCCCAGCTGCTGTCCCGGGTCAACAAGGAGCACGAGCACAAGCTGAAGGTGAGTCCCTCCCCACCAGCCCAGAGAGCTTCCTGCAGTGCTGGCACCCATGGGCACCAGGACCAGGATGCTGCTGGTTGGGGTGAAGCACCACAGTGGGGGAGTGGGGAGCTCACTGGGAAGCTGCTCCTGCTTTTCCACTGGTTAAATTCTGGTTGGTTTCAGGTGCCCAGTGTGATGGGCCCTGAGCAAAGTGCTGCTTCCTCCAGGCTGTGGTTCCCACTGGATTGCTCCAGTACCAGGCCAGTTACTAGTCAGTAAGTCAGCAGGGTGTACAGGACCCACAGGCTGGAAAATGACCTTGTTTGTGTCCCATGTTGCTTCTGAGCTACTAGCATGATCCTGGAGGATGCTTAGTGTCTGTAACTGCTGGCTGCAGCTGAAGTTCTGGGGCACTTGGTGTCATGAGGTGCCAGTTTTGCCATCAGGCAGGAGCAGGAATTGCTCTGTTTTCTGTTCTGTGCTTGGTTTCACAGAGCTGAGTTGTTGGCAGTGGGGGAGCTGAGCTGCAGCTCTCAGCCTGAGCCTTCAGGTCAGCTGTGAAAGGGAGGCTCCTTGGCTTGTGTCCTTCCTCACACCATGTCTTTTCAGCTGGTTTGGGGCTGAGAAGGGAAGACAAGGGTCCAATCCCACCTGGGAGCAGTGGAGCAGGTGCAGCACTTCCCAGTGTGTGTTGGACAAGGTATCTGCACCCTGACCATCACTGACATGGGCCAGCTGAGGCATCACACCAACACCACCGAGTGCTTCCAGGGTACCTCTTCCAAGGGCATTTCAGTGTTCTGGGTAGAAACATCTGTCTCTCTTCTTTGTCTCCACTTCCATCCCCCTCAGCCTTGCTCTGAGCCACCCAGGAGACTCCTGGAGGGATTCCTGGACCTGCCTAAAGTGAGGGAGGAGGCCACCAGTCTCATGAGAGCTTGTGAGTGTTTCCATCAGGAGATGGACAATAGCAGCTTTGTGGGACCAAGCCCAGCAGCAGTGCTCAGTGCTCCCAGATAAAGCACAGCCCAGCCAGCCATGCCATGCCATGCCACCAGCTTGTCTCCTTGGCACAGAGAGGACCCTCACTGCCTGGTGGGCTCTCTTTCCC